GGGGGAAATTTCTGGGAGTTGAAGTCCACTCATCTTAAAGTGGCCAAGTTTGGATAACACTGGCATAGGGAGAAGGATATAACATGTCTGCATGGCATGTTCCTTGTTTTGGCCATCTTATCTGTAAAAGCATCTGTGGCAGTCAGTCTCAGCCAAGAGGCTTAGCTGAGAAGTTGGTCTTCACTGCCTCAGAGTTATAGCTAAGTGATTTTGTTGCTCAACATGTATAAATGTCCTTCCTAGTGAAGCTGATTAACCATGGTCCCACCAGTATTATTTGTTCTTACAGTGCCAATCAGAGGCCAAAGCAAAAGACTACAAGCAGGATACAGGCGCACTAGTACATCCCCACTCATGTTTTCTGGACATTGACACTTAAACATGCCATCTCCATTACTGTAAAATACCTTGAGTCTTGGTAGTAATGAATATGAAATATTGACAATCTTTAAATTATACATATTCTCTCTTCATTTTAACCTTGTAAATACCTGGGTGCCAGTAGAGGCTGTGTGATGTTTGTTGCCTTGGTAGCAAGTTATTCTTGCTAAATGAAGTTCATATGTTGCATTAAGTCAGAATGTAGTTTGCTCGGTTTTTGGATTAGCTATCCCAGCCATTGAGATCTGTAAGCCATGGTTTATGGATTAGCGTATGTGAACCTGGCCAGTTGTGGTTTATTCCATAAATCATCGTTAAGCAAATCATGCATTAGTGCAATGTGTGAATCATGCCTATTTGCAGAGTCCTGCAGCCCAGGCATGTCACTCTCCATGCTGATTGAAATATTTTCAGTTTTCTGATCAAAACCATGAGCTGTTATCCTGGGGTTTCCTCATTTGTCATGTCCCCTTTCTGTAAGGATCTCTTCTGATTACTTCATTATGTTAACGAGCCTGTTTATCCTCCAAAGACTTATTGTGAGACATTTTTCTCTGGTACAAAAGGAAAGCTAATGACATGAAGCAAACAAACAAATCCAAATGAACAAGGATGAGTTTTAAAGTAAATTGATGCCTGTACATGTGTTAAGAATGAATGCACTGTAAAAAAAATCTGGTACAGCTATGTGGCTGTGATTAAAAATTTATGTTCTGGGTTGTTTTTTTTTAAATCAATTCTGTGGCTTTTGTTCCCTGTCAAATTGAGCATAATGATATCCTACATTGCCTAATTCTGGGTTTGGTAGTCATCAGGAGTGGCAGTGAGTTAAACATTACACTCGGGCCTTAACCTCTGACAAGAAAATGCAAGGATGAGAAACTTGCTATTTTTTCTTTTAAAAGAACTCCAAGATTCTGAACTGAATTCTGTATTTGACAAATGCAGAGGTTTGACTTGCATGGACATCGCAGCATGACTTTGAGTTAGTCAATATTTCACTACCCCATGAGGATGTAAGGATAAAATGAGAAGGGTTTCTCCCTATAGGCTGCCTCAAATGCCTCAAGAAAAGGCAAAATATAAATATAATAATAAAGAATACAATTTATCCTCATTAATGATCATTATTGTTGCTGTATTTTTGCTACGCAAACTGGAGATTCCTAGATTTTGATTATTTTGAGACAAGCTCTTGTAGTGGCAGCACCCCAAATGTGGAACTGTTTCAGTTCCTTTATGTTTCATTTTAATCATTAGTGTTCTGTCGCTTGAACTTTTGACATTGTGCTCATGTCCTTTTTAATTTTAATAATGCTTTCAGTTGTTGCTTGATACGTTTTTATCCAGTGTTTTTTGTATGTTTTATTTTATAATTTTTTGTGGAATTCTTTAAATTATATTTCTCCCAACCACCTTTCAGGTAGAGGAAGGGTGCAAATTATATGTTGGATAATTTTTTTTTAAAGTTAGCAGAATAGAAGTAGAAGCCAAAAGAATCAAGTGTCAAGAGTTAAGGTGATTGGTTCGGCTGTCTATCTCTCTATCTCTCCGTCCATCCATCTGTCACAAATATATAAATGTTAAAAGAAGACTAACAATGATATTGGCATTCCAAAGAAAGAAATATCCAAGGAGGTTAATATAGTTTCTATTCCTTTTTCTTTTTCCTTCTCTTTTTTTCTTTTTCTCCTTCCTGTTTTTTGTTGGGTGGGGGGTGACACTGTAATTTCTCTTAAACCTTGCTGAACTATTTCTAATATGATGCTGGAAACTCAAGCCAATTACCAGTAAAATTGTAATCTGTTGAACATCTTAAAAAACAAGCAAATTTATACTTGGTACTAGGGCTTTAAGTTGGCCAGAAAGGTCAAACAGTAGTCACAGCCCTTGTACACAAGTCTAGAGGATGAATGTCATTTAAGTTATAATGTTTTTCTGTCCCTTCCATATATTGCTTTATATCAGGTAAGTTGTTGAATGGAAAAATAACTGAGTTAACAATCAGAAGTATAACTCTGTTCTGATGGAGCACATCTAGAAAAAATGTGTCTTGTCCTTTATGATTGTGGTGCTTTCATAATTAAATCCGATGGTGGCTTTCTTTTTGTATATTACGTGTTCTTAATATTAACACCCAATGCTTTTTTCTGTGTCATGCCAAAAAGAAATTATTATTGGTTCCGCAATGAAATACTGCATGGCGAAAAGGCCAATAGATTGATTTATTACTTGTATAATTGGCTTGGTGAGATAATAGGATATATGTTGATTTGCTTCCACCATAGAATTTTTTAGATGGATTCAGATTTTTTCAGCAAGCACTATATTCCCCATCTTGTTTCGGATTAAGACCCTTCTTTCCCAAATGAACTGCAAGAAATGTGAGAGCTTCTTATGTTAAGAGCTAGAAAATGTGGGAGTGAAAGTTGATGGCCCGATGATGGAGGTAGCTTTGTAGAAAATTGCCCTGTCAATTGCCCTCATGCTAAGCTGGCTTTGATTGTTCCACACTTTTTTTGGACAGGCTGTGTGTGGCCGCTCTTTCTGCCAATAACTTCTGTGAGAACAGGGAGGCTCTCTATGGGGTCTTTGACGGAGACCGCAATGTGGAAATACCTTACCTTCTACAATGTACGATGAGTGATATCTTGGCAGAAGAGTTGCAGAAAACCAAGAACGAAGAGGAATACATGATCAACACTTTCATTGTAATGCAGAGGTTAGTTGTTACTGTATGTAATATTTGTAAGGATCAGCAAGGATCTGTTTTCCAATCCTGAAGATGTCCTCATTTTCTTTGCTATTTTGGGGGTTACTTTTCACTTGTACGTTTTCACATAAGACAAGAACTGACGTTCTTATGCACCATGACGGCTATGAATGTTGAAAATGGCTTACTAGTGACTCAGATCATTGATATATAGCCTAGTATTGTCTATTCTGACTGATTGCAGTTTTCAAGAACAATCTTTACCAGCTAATGTATTATTCTTTTAGCAGGGGATCCAGACTGAAACCTGGGACTTTCTACAGGTCTTCTGTCATTAAACAGAAATAAGGCTTTTCAAGAACATTTCCTGTGTGACTGGTTTAACCCCTTATCCTTTGCTCTCTCTGCAAAGACAGTCAAAATGATCACCATGTCCTGATTTTAGATCTCGGCTATTATACCTGCAGTTGTTGGTATTTGGAGAGGAATATTGGTGGCTTTAGCTTAGAGTTTTGGAAAGGGGTTTCCTTACAACTTTTCCCTCATTACTGTAAGAAAACTCTTAACAGAAGCAGCTTGAAAACTGGCTGCTTAGGAGATACATTCAGCATTTCCCATGTTTCAGTGGCGATAATAGGTGATAGTTAAGAGATTTGATTGCCTTTTCTAAACGTTTCTGCTTATACTTCAGCAAAATTTGGGGGATTCTCCAGATCAGTTTCAGATCAGTGAATCAGCACTGTGTTCCCCTTGAAATCGTGTTTTTAAAGTTAGCCTTTGGCTATAATTGGGGAAGGTTAATAATATAGTAAGCTCCCTTTAATTTGCCAGTGCTTAATTCCAAAAGTGAACTGGACAGAAGCTAGTGACCATTTTGCTAGAAACAATAATGACTTCGCTAGACTGCAGCCATTTCTATCTGCTGTTTTGTAGGCACAAAAATGATTTGGCTCTGGTGCTTTTCATGTACTAGTTGAAATGCTATTTGTCACAGCCCACTTCTTCCATTAAATTTCCTAAAGTCTCATATGAAAGCCTTTTAAAATATTATAAAAATAAAAACCATACATTTCTTCTTTTCTCCCTTAAAAAGAGAAAAAGCCTGTCTATATATAGATATATTGAATGTGATTAATTTTATTTATAACTACATAGCTCCATAGCAGCTCATTCAACTATTACCCCAGACTGAATAATCAAAAACAAATTGTTTAAATTATAGCCGGAAATGGCTTCCGGAAGAAGATAGATGGATTTTTATGCGTTATTTATATAGGCTTGACAATTCTGAGATGACCTGGAAACAGCCAGTTTTGGAGAAATGTACAGCTGAGAGGATGTAATTGATATGTGAGTTCAGACTTGATTGGGATATCATGCCAGTTTTCTGTGACCCTGTGCAGTCATGTTTATCATATCCAGTTGCTTTGAAAAGGGAATGCAAAACTAGAATGCCTTTCTTATTTTTCTTTTCTAATAGCTTGCTTACCCAGAAATGTTCTGGAGGAGGGGTGCGCAAAACATCAGAAATTTGAACCGTTTCAAACTTGGAACACTCATTTCAAGTGTGAAGTTGAGCCGTTTCAAGCCTGAAACCCTTCCAGAATTATTGAAGTGGCTGTTTTTCACTCAAACAGTATTTCAAATTTCAAAACTATTTCAATTCAATGCATTTTGTGCACCCCTGTTCTTGAGCTATTGGAATGTGAGGCCTTCCATTTTTCTGAGGGGAACTTGGACGTTTGCTTTGAGTTCTGTCTTAGGAATGTTGGAAGATACCTGGTATTGAATTGGCCTGTTTGCTTATGTAGCACAGTGTTGTCTCTATTCTGTGATCCTCCTAGCTGGAGGGCACCAGAATGGCTTTGGCTCTCTGGGGGTTCTGACGGAAGGCTTCCTATTTTTTACTAATCTATTCATTTCACTGGAGCAGTCAGGAAACCAATCAAGGAGTCACAAAAACTGCACTTGAGAGCTTTACCAATTAACTGTAAAATTCTCCTTCAGCTAAAGCTTCAACTCCTAGTGACTTCATGGACATAATGGCAAGAATATTTCCCCCTTCTGGAATTTAAAAAAAAAAAAAACTTCCAGTTGAGCCTACAGCCCTAGTATGTCCTGGTGGTCTCCCATCCAGTTACTAACAAGGCCCAACGCTGCTTAGCTTTTGAAAATCAGCCAAGGTCAACTACTGTTACCATCTGGCTGGGCACTAAACTATGGCCTGTTCTAAATTTTCTGTGAAAATCTCATCAGCAGCTCTAATAGAGTGCATCGGATTTGAGCTGTAGCTGTCTTAACTGCTTTCTGTGTATGAATTCCTCACTTTTTCTGTTGAATCTTGAAAATCAGTGTGTGGGTTGGCCTTGATTCTATATGCATGATCATTGTGTTTTCCCTTTTTAATTTCTTAATGTTGTTTTCTTGAAATTCCAGGAAGCTTGGAACTGCTGGGCAGAAACTTGGAGGCTCTGCTGTCCTTTGCCACATCAAACATGACCCATTAGATCCAGGTGGATGCTTCACATTAACCTCAGCCAATGTGGGGAAGTGCCAATCTGTTCTCTGCAGGAACGGGAAGCCCCTGCCTTTGTCTAGATCTTACATGATGAGCTGTGAGGAAGAGCTAAGGAGGATCAAGCAGCACAAGGCTATTATTACAGAAGTAAGAAACTGGGTTGCCAGGCCTGGCGAAGGAGGGAGGAATCGGGAATATACTGCAGGTTCTTCTTTGCCAATCTGTTTCAGAACCCTGCAGATAAAGCAGAATTTCCTCCTGTCATCTTGCCCATGTTCCAAACTTTAGTTGAAAGAGAATTGTTCTAAATGCATGCGTGTAACGCATATATATGTAACGCATATATATGCGTTATTTCAATTGGTAAGGCCGCCTCAACTCACAACTGACTCTGGGCAGCATATATTGAAAAATCTATATAATATCTTAAAAAATGGACAAAATTGAGCAAGAAGAGAAACCTCACATAAGAGGGAAAACACATATCACAACCCTCCCCCCCAAAAAACACACATCAAGTGGGCTTACTATCAAACTATCCCAGAATTTCAGGAAAAGCCAAGTTTTTGAAGATCACTGGATGGCTATCCTAAGAGAACTAGAAGGCAGAGTTTCCTAAAATGCTGTCACAGGCAGGAAATACAATGCCCATAATACTAATATCAAAGGTATCCTGCTCAAACCAAGAGTATTTTCTTCAGTTTCCACATTTCCACGGTTTATCACATTTTTAAAATTAAGGCATGCAAAGGTATCAAATATAAGACATTTCCTTCAGTTTTACTTTCCTCTCTCCCCCTTCCCACTTCCTTTTTCATATCTGGTCCAGTCTTAAACTAATACAGGATGTTAAAAATTCACTGATTTGATTTTTATATTTTATTTAAAGCTTAACCAAGCCAAAATTTGGGAATATGAATACCACTTGTAATTTAAAAAAAAACAGTGTTTTCCCTTTCTGATGTTAATCTTTTTCCCTGTGCGGAAATTACTTATCTAAAGAAGAAGTGTAATTGGGGCGTGTGAAAACACTTTTTCTGCAGAGCAGAAAACAAACAAGAGTCCAGGCACAATTCATTTCCTCTTGCAAGCTTCACGACTGAAGTAAATCTGCATTTTCCAAGCCTAGAAACGTAAGCATAGTAGGGCTGAAGAAAAGAAAGCCACAACTAGTAATTTTCCTTCTTTTAATGTTATGCAGTGCATGTGCCGCGTGTACATGTATGGTATGTTAAGCATTATTTGCAGAGTATCGGTTGCCATTAAGGTCCTTAATTCCTTGCTCAGGTAAGCAGTCTGTGGCCTCATTTTATGCACCTGGCATCACCGCCTTTTACTCACCAGGTACAGTTCTGTGAAAAAATATTTGCCCACTTTTGGGTTTTTTGGATTTTTGCATCTCTTTGCCACTGAATGTTATCAGGGCTTCACGCACATCCTACTAACGTACAAAGGGAGTCAGAATGAAGAAATCATTATGTGATGTTTATCTCATTACTTATGTCATCCAACATGCAGGGTGACAAAGTAAAAAAAGTAATTGTAACCCCCCCCCCCAGTTGAAATCAATACAGTTAAAGGGATAGCTAGGGCCAGTTATGTGAGTACTTCAGTAAACAATAAGAGCTGATTTGCTCTGTATGCACTGTATAAACACTGACTTCCTTCATCACAATGAAGTTCTTACTGTGTAGATTCCAGAGACATGTCATGTCCCGCTCAAAAGTCATTTCTGAAGACTTCCTTTTACAACATCATCTGTAAAGCTCAGGGCTGCACCGGTCCATAATCGGCATCATGTTTGTGAAATGGAGATGATTTAGGGCAATAGTGAATCTTCCCAAGAGTAACTATCCTAAAAAAAATCCTTCCAAGAGCACAGCATAAAATTGTCCAGGAAGTCACAGAGAATTCCAGAACAACATTCAAGGATCTGCTTGCTTCTCTGGCCATGGCTAAAGTGAGTGTTCATGATTCCGGCATTAGCAGGCAAAATGGGATTTGTGTGAAACTAGCAAAGGGAATGCCACGGCGCTTTCAGAGAACATTGATGCTCATTTCTAGTTTGTCAGAAACCATCTGGATCATTATCCAGACTTCTGTTGGAATATTTTATAGAAACGACAAAAATGGAACTTCACAGGTTAAATGTTTCACAGAAACCAAGTATTGCATTCTGATTGATTGACTGATCTGCCTCCTTAATCTCAACTCACTCTAGGTAGTATATATTAGTAGGACTCACAAGAAGTTGTGACAGCATTCAGTGTCAGAGATGCAAAAATTTTTCAAAGAACTGTAGTTGTTAAGCTGGTCAGTTGGCCAATTGTGGATTGTTGTTTTCCCACAAACCTACTGCCAACAGGTAGCTAGTAGAAGTGTGTGATACATTTCAAAATCAAAATGTTTTAAGCTCAGAAAGGGTCTTGTTCATGCTCAGAACATTTCCAGAAGAATTGAACATCAGAACACTTTTGGTAAAGTTGGAACAATCCTTGTAGAAGCAATTGTTTTGAGCGAAAAACAGGCATTTTGAACTCAGAATGTTTTGAATTTGAAAGGTTTTGCATACTCCAGATGTCAAAGATCTACAGAAAGGTTGGTAGGAGGAAAAGCGTTACAGTTTTAATCTGCCCGATGTCAGTCACTCTGCAGATTTGTTACTTTTCTGCTGCTATTAGTAATAGGAATTCAACATCATGTCTCAAAATGGCAGGAAAGGAGGATATGATAAGTGTTCCCTCCCCCATTTAACTATTTCCAGCAAAAATCACTTCCTCCTGCTAGATTGACATTTGTGTTCTGTTCTGAAGTCAACAGAGCCCCTCCCTGCCTTTTTTAAAATTACTGGATGGCCAAGAAATTGCAAGTTTTATCTCTCTCTCGGATGAGTTGTCGGGGCCAGAACGATGATCCAAACTAATTAGAGGTACCAGCGGTTTGGATTGATTCTTGAATCCGGCTCTCTACTTGAACCCTGATCCTCCCCTCCCCCAAGTAAGAGCTGATTATTGTTAACATTTAGCAGTTAACGTATTTTTTCCTTCATTCTAGGATGGCAAAGTGAACGGTGTAACAGACTCGACAAGGATTTTGGGATATACCTTCCTTCACCCAAGTGTTGTTCCACGCCCCCATGTGCAGTCCATTACTTTGACTCCTCAGGATGAATTCTTCATTCTGGGCAGCAAAGGCCTGTGGGACAGTCTCTCCATTGATGAAGCTGTGGAGGCTGTCAGGAATGTGCCTGATGCCCTGGGAGCTGCCAAGAAACTTTGCACGTTGGCTCAGAGTTATGGCTGCAATGATAGCCTCAGTGCTGTGGTGGTTCAACTCAATGTAACTGAGGATAGCTTCTGCTGCTGTGAGCTAAATGGGGTCCCTCCTCCCAGCCCGGGCAGCTTCCCCCAGTCTGTCAATGTAGTAATTAAAGATAAGCCTTCTGATGCTTTGGGGATGCCTTCGTCTAGCAGCGGCATGGCGTCTGAGATCAGCAGTGAGATCTCCACTTCGGAAATGAGCAGCGAGGTTGGATCGACAGCCTCTGATGAGCCACCTCAGGTAACCATGAATGAAAACAGCCCTGCTTACCCTAATGAACAGCGCTGTATGCTCCACCCAGTTTGCCTCTCCAACTCTTTCCAAAGACAGCTCTCCAGCGCCACATTTTCCAGCGCTTTTTCAGACAATGGCCTTGATAGTGATGATGAGGAACCAATCGAAGGGGTCTTCTCTAATGGCAGCAGAGTAGAAGTGGAAGTGGACATCCACTGTGGTCGGGCAAAGGAGAAGCAGTTACTGCTGCAGGCGCCTGTGGAGATCAGCGATGAAGGCATTGTCATCAGTGCAAATGAAGAAGAGACGTGCCTCCTTCGAAAGGCTGACACTTCTTCCACTGGCACCATCGGGCGCCGCCGAGGCAATGGTTCAGTGGCTCCTCAGGAGAGGAGCCACAATCTGATTGAAGTAGCCGCTGATGCACCACTCAGGAAAACGGGGGGCTATTTTGCCGCTCCAGCTCAGCCTGATCCAGATGATCAGTTCATCATCCCACCAGAGCTTGAGGAGGAGGTGAAGGAGATAATGAAGCAACATCACGAGCAACAACAACAGCAGCAGCAGCAGCAGCAGCAGCAACGTCAATATCAGATGGACCAGCTGCCAGATTATTATGACACACCACTATGACGCAGCTTTGTGAAACAAGCTAACAAGACATTAAGAGCTGGAAGCTCCTTAGGTTTGTATTACACTAATGGGGTGGGGAAGAAAGAAAGCTTTTGTTCTACTTTCTCTTCCAGATCCTTCCCTTTAACTGAAAAAGTGCAGCTGCTTCTTGTTCGTTAGCTGTAATGATCACCAACTCCCCCCCCCCTTTTCTAGTGATGCTTCACTGGTTAGAAATTAATCTAGGTTAACTCTTCCCCTTCCTTAACATATCAGATGTGTAAAAAAAGTGGAGAAAAATTAAAATACAAAAGGTTTAATATATTGCAAAGAAAACTGATGACGACGTTGATGTAATATTTTTTAAAATTGTTCTTTTTTTTTTTTCCTTGTCTATTTGGAAAACAGGGCAGTATTGCCAGTGCTAAATGATTAAGTAATATTGTAATACTGTATTTCTTTGAGAGAAAAAAAAAGGCTTTTTTGGTCTTGAAAATGGATAGACATTTGTAGAATTATGGAGACTAACTCCTAGGAGTTGCTTTTACTCTTTCAGGTGACTTTAAGTCACTGAGATTCACTAATTTTCTCTGAGAGAACAGCTGATTGGGAAATTCCTGTAAATAACTCAGTGTTGTATAGTGAAGCTTCACATGTTTTGTAGACTTGGCAGGAGGGCACAGCCTAGTAAACTGACATTATACCCCCCACCTCTTTCCATTTACACCCCAGGAGCTTTCGCATGTGTGTCAAAGCTACCACTGATGCAACCACATCGGGAGGGTAGGAAAATCCTATCAATGTATTGCCCTCTCAGCGGGTGAGGTGATGAAATGTGTGGGGCCCTGGTGACCTCCTGTGTCTGTACCACCATATCCAGTCGCCATTTGATTTGGCTGGGCCCAAGTCAGTGGGGGGACTGTGTTCACGTGTGAAGTTGCCCACAAGTTATGGAATCTTCGGACGCTGATCCATATAAAGCTAGCAGGAGCAGCTATAACAAGCTGTGTAGAATTCAGTGGGTATTGGGCTAGAGACCCCTGTGTTAATTTTTTCAGTCTTTACCATTAACTTTTTTGGCACATTTTTGTGTGTTCCTCCCTGCTGCCACAACCAGCATGATTGTATAGAGTTCATTTACTGTAGATCATTTACATACCAAGAGTTATATTAAAGAAGAATGCACAAATGAACATGTCATAATTTTTGTTATAATAAATATAAAAATTTACAAATACTTGCAGCCTTCTGTTATGTCTATGCAAACACACATATGCATGTATATACTCTGCAGGCTTGATAGTGAAAAGTTCAGGTTCTCACATTTTTTATCACAATAGTTGCTGATAAACTACATTAACATTGCCCTGTCCTGCATATTAAAAAATTCCCATATTGGAATGAAGGAAAGATACTCTGTTTAATTTCAAGAGGATGAGTGAAGAAGGTAGTATGTTGCTATCAAGAAGAAATTGTGGAAATTGCTAGTTGCCAAAGCACTGTAGTGGTGAAAATACCAAAGTAGATGGTGGAAGAACTGTGTTCAAATCTGCACTGAGCAGTGAAGCTCACTTAATGATCTTGGGTCCGTTGGTAGCATTTAGCCGTTGCTAACATACACAAGTTCTAGTGGAGAGTGAATGGGTCAGGAGCCTTGAGCTTCTTGGGGGAAAAGCTGGATATAAACAAAGTAAGTTGTGGAATGAATGTTTAGTTGCATAGGAAGGATTGAATGAAAGTGTGGACTTTTTTTCAAATTTGTGCTCAACATCCAGTTTTACTTTGTTCCCAGCTTTACCACATGAGATATGCAAGACTTAATGGAACAAGCCTGGAACTTTGGAGTGGGTGGGAAGGGATCAAAACATTTTGTAAAAGACAGATACCAGTTTTCCATGGTGGGGAAGACGACTCTAGTTAATTGAGCTGAGTGGTCAATGGGAATAATGCACATAAGATCTGAAATAAACCCAATTATCAGGAAAAAAAATTTTTTTTAATTTTTTGAAGAATACTATTTTGGCTTGTTTCACAGTGGAGAATTCTTGAAAAGTCATTTTCCTGGTCCTGGAATTTTAATTTCATTCTTCATATATTCAGAAGTCCTAAATTGGAACCCCACACTAGAATTTCATGTCATTGTACCTTATTTGTCCCCAACCATTGTGATTTCTTTTCACCTTTGTTATTGCTATTAATATACAGAGGATAAGTAAAAAACAAAGAACAAAAACATAAAACCAAATAAAATCACAAAAAAATAGAAGAAATTATATAGAATGCATACATAATAGAGTATAATACATAGAACATGTGCATATGAAAATAACTTGGTTTGTAAACAATAACCACATAGATACTAGCCCATTTTCCTCCATATCAATATGAATGATTTCATAGGTGGAAAGTGATCATATCTCATCAAATGTTTTAAATCAAACAGGTATAGGTGGTCCTCATTTAACAACCACTTGTTCAGTGCCATTTGAACTTGCAACTGTGCTGAACAAGTGGTAGTTACAACCAGTCCTTGAAGTTATGGTTGTTGCAGTGCCCTTGTCATATGATAGCGATTTCCAACTTTCCCTGCCAGCTTCCCACTAGCAAAGTCAACAGGAAGCCGGCAGGAAGTCAGAAGTCACAATCACAAGGTCCTTGCTTAACGATGGTAACCGGGGACTGCCAGTACTGCTGTCACTAAGCGTTGTCACATGACATGCTTTACAACCCCACCACTTAGCAATGGAAATTTCAGTCCTAAATAACATCATTAAGCGAGGACTACCTATATTACAGAATCTTTCCATCATACATAAGTTCCTAATTTTAGTATATAGTTAAACTTCACATTTATTTTTTTAAACCTTATTTTTCTTCTAAGCACTATATTAATAAACAATTGAAACCAAAATATAACACCACTTCTGGGGGAAGTATGGCGAACTGAAGACAACTCTAAAAGCAGAGCTGATGACTGCAGCAAAGAGCAAAGAACTGCTGAGTAGATCGGTTCCTTGGAACCTCTCTGGACAAGGAAAGAATGGGAGATTGTCCATATGTACTCTGGATGGCCGCAGACAGCAGTTTTCCATGGGTTTGAGTAACAGCCATCTTGGTTGCAACCACAGCAGATTTTTAAAGCACATTTAAGTTTGCAAACCTCACTTTCTAATCACTTTCAGAAATTGCTCATTAACTATTAGTATTAGAGACCTTTGAAATGACAATTTGTAAATGCCAGGTAAGTCTGCCTTTAATCCTGATTGAAAGAAAACTTTATAAGCTTAAGAATTTAAACAATCTGAAATAAATAGCAAAAAGCTAAATAAGTTTTTGATCTTAGAAAGTTATAAATGGACTAAGGTCCAGAAAAAATTGGAAATATTGAAACTTTTACAGTAAGATTTTGGAATTAATTATAAAATACACACAGCTTCTCATGGGAAATAGATCCTGTTTTGGTTTTTACAAGACATAACACATAAATAATTTCATTATTTCAAAAACGACACTAGAGAGGACTAAAGATTTTAGATAGAGGAAAGAGATACAGGCCTGCAAGATGGTTATGACGATAAAAATTCTGGAGACTCTTGAAGAATGGAATCAGAAAATAGTAGCCATAATACCAACAATGTCAGTAATGATGTCTGCTGCTATGGATAGACTATGTCCAAAAGATGTTATTGAAGACATGTCAGTTGTAGAATAAATTTTATCTGACAAGGTAGAGATGGTATCAAAAGTGGATTTACAGCTGACAGGCCAAGATAATTATTTAGAAAAGGATGTTTCATTGGATATACAAAAGAAACTCGCTGCGGTTTTAAAATTTAAAAGGGAGATACAAATTACAAACCAAGAGTGACCTGGATAATTTTTTTCCTACTGGATTTACAAAAGAGGTTTGTTAAGCCCTGAAAGAATTCTCTGCGATGGGACAAAGAAGAAATGAAAAGAAATAACATTCTACAATAAAATTTGAATGAATTAAAGATTAAGACTGTTAGAAGTAAAGGGGAATATAAAGTTGGTTTATTTGATCAAGGTTAAAATATGTTGTTTCTTCTGACTACCCTTTTTGGACTTTCTGCTGACACCACGACTGAAAGATGATGCTGTATGAATTTGTTTATAGATAAGAGATGGGATATGTGATGGAGAGATAAAAGTTTGTAACTTTAGAGAGGACAAAGAGTTACTAAATTTGTTGTGATGAAGGTTGGAAGTCTCCAACGCATTGTTTTATTTTATTGCCCTATTTAGACCACTAGCCTATGCTGGACTAAGCAAGAATAAATTTTATCTGACAAGGTAGAGATGGTATCAAAAGTGGATTGACAACTGACATGGCTAAGGGAAGACAGGAACCAAGGTCTCCCCTCTCCTAGTCCAACACCATAATCATTACACCACATTGCAAGTACTTCTTTTGCATGACATAGGGTTTCTGAATAAAATATGGAAAGTTTTCTCTTGTTCCCTAGCAGATAATCCAGATTATTGGGGTGCCCATCTAATTTACTTTCATTTCAGTATATAAGTTACAAGCTCCTGCATGCAAAACATCTTTGAGTTCAGAAGTAAAGGCTTGTTATTTGACTGGTAGGCAGTTGACTTTCACTGCTTGATTTATGAAGCCTCCAGATGCACCCTTTGTATATGTAGTACCACTGCATTGATTCACCAAATTCAGAATCCAGAACGTTCTGCCTCTACATCCCCCCCAAATAAGCAAATCCCTTCAAAGATGGTCAGTGATAGGCAACCTCATCAAAAGGTGACATGACATTGCACCTTATGACTGTGTTGCTTAGTGACACAGTTCCCAGTCCCAATTACCATTGATAAGTGAGGACTACTTGTATACCCTAAAAAAGCAAAACTAGAATGCATTTGGTTGTGTGCCACATCTTTTTCTCCAAAAGCACGTAATTGTTAATGGTCAACACAGATTGCATTTCAAAGATTATTTTGTACCTAAATATTCATACAAGTCAATCCTATGATTTTAGAGATGTTGAATTGTCCTTGCTGTCCGTAAAGTCTTTTCCCTTCTCTGCCTCCTTCTCAGACCCAATATATCTGAGAAGGGATCTGTGGCACAAAAAGATTAAGATATTCTGTTTAAGAATAGCAGCACTCAGGATCACACGACCAGGAGAAAGGGGACTTGGAATGGAGGAGAGCTACTGCCACTTCCTGTACACAAATATACTGGGGGATTTTCTTTCTCAAGTTTTTCTCAGCAGCCCCTGATCAGCTCTGGCCCATTTTCAATCTCTTTCTTTCACTGGCTTTGCCTTCATCACCAGAGCTGGAAAACATTTTTTTGAAGAGGTGTCCTTCTGATGGACAGATAGAGGTCAAGCCCGCTTATATAATTTCATTCTAGCATTCTGTTGGGTTGGATAGAATACAAAGGAAGGAAGGGAAGTGAGGAGAGAAGGGAAGGGAAGAGGCAAGGGAAAAGTGAAAAGGAAGATGAAAAGAAAAAAGATGTCGAAGACTGAGAAAAGAGAGATAACTTAAAGAGCAGGGGACAGAGGACAACATAGAGTGAAATCTATGTAGGACTTAAAGGACTATGCTTCAATAATGCCAAGAAGGGAAGAAGAAGAAATTTTAAAAGGTTGTAGAAGTACTGAGATTTTCTAGGGAATTTTAATCCAATCATGTTACATGCTGCATGGAAACTATTCACCCACAGAAAAGCAAGAATTAAGCCTATGTTCGTTTTTTTCCCTCTTTTTTTGCCATGACAATGTGCTAAACAGAACCAGTTTAATCTAGGAATGATTCACTGCAGATCTGCTTTTTTGTGTGTGACAAGGGAACAGGAATATCAAATGCTTCACAGGACTCTATAGCTTGTGGTCCTGTAATAGCAAGTAGGGTTTTATTTTAGATTGACAATATCTCTACCCAAACTGATAGATGACCTCCCCTGGGGCTTCATATGGATGATGAAGAGATTTGGGAAGGACCAAGCCCTGAACCATTCCACTGTAGCTCCCTTTCCCTAACAAGCGTTCCAACTGGCCACCCAGGAAGGTTGGGACTTTTATAAAACAGTGTCCACAACACTTGGAGGCAGCTCAAAAGGACACTGATGGTTTCAAATGCTTTTGAGGAAGAAAGCAGGACAATGAGGGGATCACTCCCACTGTGTAAGTCCTGCCACAAGTCATTCACTACAAGTGGCCAGTGTGTGCTCCCTCCTGTGCTAAGGACTGATCCCAGAGTGGACAGGAATCCATTTCTATCAAGAGCGGTCTGTAATCACCTCCCCAGTACCTTCTTGAGAATCTTCTCCCATAAAGGAAAGGTCGGAAAAAGGTAGATTGCTGCCTCTTAGTAGGTATCACTCCCTCTCTCAGAGTCACATTTTTAGGCAATATTCTCATTTGGGTTATCAAGACATATGTCTAAAGTGTTTAGTATCCTTATTCAGTCTAAATTTCAAATACATCCATTTCAGCTTGTATTTTATTCGGTTTGTTGATTTTCATACATATTGAACGTCAACTGTGTTTCTATAGCTGTGAGATATAGCAACTTGTACACAAAATACTACATAATTTTGGGATCAGAGTTTTAATAAATTCCCTAGCATCAGAATTTCTGTCTTCACCTTTTTTTTTTACTAGTTTAATAATGCTTGTCCTCATTTATAGTACATTAGTAGTGCCTTATTTACATGGCTCCTTATGCAAATGTATTTATGAGAAAAATATAAACTTGAATAGGCCATCCGGAAAGAGCCTACTAGCATCTGTTTAATATGCTGATGGCAGTATCAATAGTTTGAGGGAAAAGGAATCTAGAACACTTTAAATAAAAGAGCTAAAAATCTTTTGAACTCACAATTTGTTTGCCTCCATCAATAGAAATTCATATAACCCTTTCCTTGGTCTTTGTTTTTTTTAAACAAGTCCACTATGTCCTCAAATCACTAGACAATAAATCATATACTGGGCAAAACGTTTTGTATCTGAAATGCTTTGATACAGGCCAGTTGAAGTTTAAGCAGCTGTTGCAACCATATAAGTAGCATTCTGAGCTGAAAATGGGGCAATTCCAGTTCAGAGTACTCATTCTGAATTCAAAATGGGACTGTTTCAAGCTCAAACACCTCCTGTATGAGGGGGCCAATGTTGGAACAGTTCCATTAATGTTGGAGCCTGAAACTTTTCAAGTTGAAATGTTTTGCACAGTAATAAACCCTGCCATGCCAAACATGAAGTACGATCATTCTGTTGAACTGTAACGTCCCCAGTTGGAAGTGGAATGGATGGTCAAGTGCAATGAGATCTTCAAAATAGTAGTTCAGCAACATATGAAGAGTCTTGGGTGCTGACACTTGATAGAGCTTGTCTCTCAAATACAAGCAAGTAGTTTCTATTGCAGTCACTTTTTTTTTTAACTGACTTTGAGTCAGACTTGACTTCTGGCAATTGCCTAAACAACTCCTGTAGTTTTCTTGGCAAGATTTTCAGAAGTGATTTGCCATTGCCTTCTTTCTAGGGCTGAGGAGGAGTGGCTGGCCCAAGGTCACCCAGGTGGCTTCGTGACTAAGGTGGAACTAAAACTCAGTTCTCCCAGCTTCTAGCCTGGTGCTTTAGCCAATACAGCAAACTGGTTCTCACTGTGATCATTAATACTAAAATAATAAAATATAGCATATTCTAACAGATAAATATTAACATGGAGATAACTGATAGTAAGATGAACTGCCACCCACATTACATTGAACTTAGTGCTTTATATTCGCTTTATGGTAGTTTAGTTTGCTGTTAATTGTGATTGAATCATGCATGCTATTCATAAGAATTTTGCTATGACAAGCTTTGTTTTACGGTCTTTGACAGTCAGTGGTCTGTGTAGAACTCATCTAGCTGCCTGGGAAACAGCTAGGGAAGAGAAGCTAGAGAACATTACAGAAGGCTCTCTAGAAGCCACAGTACAGCAGCATGTGACCCAAAGTCTCAAAAGCTTCCACAAAATGAGGGCAGGTTCTTTTTGCGCACATGATTTTTCTGAATCTGTCCTTGAGAACTGCTGATGGCACAGTATAAAACTGTATTATTAGCCTAAAAGCCCTGCAGCAATGCAAACCTGTAAAGCTCCACATCTGTAGAAATTCTGATAAATTTGATTTGGGATTCCACATCCAGAATCTTTTGTTCAGTGAGCATTAATATGGGCATCTCACTTCATTATAGACCGAAACACAAAACTGAACAATTTGAAGCATGCCCTTTACTCAATGCTATGTCACTTGGTACTCCAGAGCCAGGCTTGCAAAGCACATAATTTTGGTTCTGTCAAATGTGATGTAGTGCATGATCCTTACCGAAGTGGGCAAAGCTTTTGTTGTGCTCCTTAGATCTACAAGAGTCTCTGATATATAGCAGTAAGCTACAATGTTGCTGTAGGTTTCTGGGGTACTTGGAGATAAAAGCAGTGGGCAATGGCGCTTCCTCCATTCTTGGTTGGAACTGCTTCTGAAAGATGTCCTGCTGCATTACACCTTAACCTCAGACAGGCATCATCATTGCTGACTGGGGAATTCTGGGAGTTGAAGTCCACACATCTTCAAGTTGCCAAGGTTGAGAAACACTGCCGTGGATACTGAATCAAAGCCCTCTTTAAGCTCTATGAAGGCAGCATACAAAGCTGCTTTAGGCAACAGAGTGGTAATGTATGAAGCCCTGGCCCAGAATGGACTATAAACGGTCTCATCTTTCCTGCCTTTCTTGGAAGTCAGGTAATTATGGCTAAACCCCAGTCTTTGGGTATACAAGCTGATCTATCAATTTAAGCAAGCAATGAGGCCAAGTCCAGTGGCCCCAGACAGAATGACCTTGAATTAATTTGGGATGAAATTTCTTCCTGGGGGCTTTCAGTCACCTGATACTGTTGCAGAGAGGAGTTTTCATGCACCACTGAACATATGGAGAGAGAACGTCCTCCCCATGTTGAGTTCTCCAGGTTTTCAGATATTCCCCAGAATGGAACTAAAGGCCAAACACTGTAAGTTTTCTCAACCTATTACTTTCAACTTGACAATCCTCTTAACAATAATGTACTCTCCCCCACTCCCCAATACGTTTCTATCATCTCCTAAGTGTAGGTGGGCTATTGGAATCTTGCCAAAGCAATCAGCAGATCACCTGTTGAAGCATTCTACCAGCACAAAATCTGTGTCAATTACTAGTGAGAACTGCACTTAAACCATTAACAAGCCTGGATTACAGCTGGTGATTTGTCTTAGAAAGGCACTTTAAGAACACAAAGACAGGCAAGATGTACTATATCAGTATAATTTATATGATAGAGAACTATTGCCCAGATTTCCTATTCAGTCAGGTACTGACAAAGAAGAAATTTCTGAATATAATAAAGTTGATGGATTAACACTATTAGGTCTCAGTCTGGAGCTAGTAATTGATTTCTGTGTCATTTACAAGTATAATCAATACATAATTAAAATAACTGATCTTCAGCGTATTTCACTCTTTACAATATTGCATCTCAACATTCACTAGCTGTCTCACTATCTATGAAGGTAAAGACCCCTTCAAGTCAACCCAAAGTCTTAGTAATTTCATGGAGATGTCCATGTGGGATTTTTAGGCAATGATACAGAAGAGCTGTTACTGAAAAAGCATACCTACAGGGCAAAAAAACCTGGAAATACTTTCTGCAATTCCTTCCCTTTTTCCATAAAGGTATTTTATTACTCTAGCTGACAAGAGTAATTTTAAAATACATCTTTGATCTTGTATTTCACAACTATCTTCTGTGTGCAAAAAACTCCTCCTTTTTTTAGCCTTGCTTCTTTGAGATACCAAACATAGATTACACAAGTGTGGCGAAAGTCCTTGGAGCATGTGTGTTTTCTGGGCTCTTCTGGTGCTTCAGATGGTTTTCTTCCTTGTAGGTTCTCTCAAGATTATAGCAATGGTTGTCCTGCTGTTTCTGAAACATCCGGACATCCCGAATGGTGAGAATGCAGACCACAAAGCTTCCAAAATACAGGCAAGCAGCCACTAGGCCAAAAAGAGCCACAGATGCATCCCCGCCTTGCACGTTGCAATTCACTGAGGTATAACCTCGCCTTGCGTACAGTCTTTCTCTCCTTAGGCACACATCTGTGGAGTTGACTTGAATGACAAAGTGGAGATAGAGGCCAACAGCCGCTATATAACCAAGGCAGGCAAGGATGTCAAAGAGGCACTCAGCGGCAAGCAGTCTGAGGGAAAGGCGATGGATCGGCTTTCCTCCACCCACAAGAAAAAGGAGCGTGAGGCACATTATCGTCAGACTGAAGGCTACCCCTCCATACACGCAAGGGGCTCTCATCTGGCTGTACTGCATGTCCAGCTCTGTTACTTCTTGGAGTTCAGTCCCTTCAAATGGACTATACAGTGAGTTGATGTTGAAAGAGCCTAGGCCTCCCAGAGTACCGAAAGCAGAGATACCTGCCTGGCTTGCTCCTATGCAGATCAGCACCAAAATGTTGACAGTGACTTCGACAAACTGTAAGACACCTGCAGGAAGAAAAGAAGGAAGGATATGGGGAATGACTGCCACCGTAAATCCACTGGACGCAGCTATCTTTAATTCTGTAAAAATGCATCTGGAAATTAATGCAATAACATGGTATAATTGTGCAGTTTATTACTGCTACATCTTTACACAAGTACACAATGCTTCTGCAGAACTGCTACCTGTTAAGCTAGGTGCTTATACCCACTAGCATTTCCTATAACAGAAAGACTGAGTAACTGCTCCTGGTAACTACTGCTGGAGACTGAAAATGGAAGGATGATATATTTGGGTACTGCCCCTTATTTTCAACAGAACTGCTGTAAATAAAAGCTGGGATGTCCACATGATAGTTCTAGCCTTGTCCTGGATAGGTTCATCTATCAATTTAGATTAATCTGTTTTCATGGTGTCCACCCACAGATACAACCTGCACTTTAGCTTATAAATGGAACAATTTTACCATGTAATGGAATCTTTTGGCCTTAACTGGACTGAATTCACATGTTTTACTTTTTTTCCAATCAAAGCGACTTGTAGATGAACTACAATGGAAAATCTTTACAACAGAAGACAGTTTTCTGCTGTTGCTACAATTCAAAGGACAAATTCTTGACAACTTAATTGATCATGTGATGGCTCCATTCTCTCAGAACAACATGGCCACTGACAGTTTCACTGTCAAGTGATTCAATGTAAAATGTTTATTTTCCCAAAGCTCCAAAGATTTAAAGATTTATATGTAACATACAAACACATAAAAAGATGGGGAAAATACCAATATATAAGACAGAAAAAGTACTGCAAAGGGAGAAATAAATCACAGTTGAACAATAAAATAATGAAAAAGCAACACAAAGATAGTGAGATTACCAACTCAGCAAGGAAAAGTATGCAGATTCTTTATAATATACAGTTCAGAGTGGTCCTGCAAAGGGAGAAATACTAAATAAATTACAACTGAAGAAGACTGCCTTACCATTGATAAAAGGGGAAGTGGGGATCAATGGGAAAGCTGGCAGGAAGTCACAGTCATGTGAGGTTCTCACTTAATGATCCACATGGTCCTTGGTTAACAACAGCAACCAGGACTGCCATCGCTAAGAGGTGCAGTCACGTGATGTTGCGCTTTATGACCACATCGCTTAGTGACAGCAATTCCGGTCCCAGTTGCCATCATAAGCCAAGGACTACCTGTAATGTTATTTTAGAAAACTAAGACTGCAATTGTTCATGGTTTGATTGACCACCAGAGCAAGTGTTCTGACCTTAGAGGAGGACATTTAATGTCAGATGATTTCCCCATCCTAATCAGCTTCCAGAGTCAGCTATTCCTGACATCAGACATTCTGGCACCACGAACAGGGGAAAGAAGTGTGCAAATGGGAGGTAAAGACATATTTTGGGAAGGGCTGTGAATCAAAAGCCCTCTCATATCGCCACACGCTGCTTCCTGGGAAGGCTTACACAAGCCCTAGAACTGATGTAAACTGTACTTTCTGTTCTTCCCCTCCTCTCCTTGTTTGCAAAGAAAAACAAACCCCTGGAGAGGAGGAAGAGAAAGATTTTTCTCCACCCTCACCTGTGCCCTGCAGGGTGTGAATTGTTTGGAACGGTACTTCTTTATATTCAGATATGCAGGAAGTCTTCACTTCTCAGTAATTAGAAATTTATATTACCCATTTTCTGTTGGAGATTAACTGCATCTTATGATCAAAGAGCATGCATTGCAATATCACATGTGACAGCACAGTTTTCCATATTGTAGCCACATCACATTCAGCTCCTATAACGAGGTACAATACAACTTAGCCATTTCATAATTCTATTTTTTACTAGATCAATTGCTGTTAACAGACCTAATTTCTACAGAAAACGTGCCATCTTTTTCAGTTAGCTTGATGCAACAGGGATAGCAACAATATTGTAAATATTACAAATCCACTAATACATGGGTGTACAAATTACATTCCTGGGGTCTCAAAGCACCTCCAGAAATCAATGCCAAATTTGAATTTGTAATGCAACAGTAAGGGAACTTATTAAATATACAGAGAGTGATCATATTAATATAATTTGAATTTAATCGCATTCAGTTTTTTTCTCTTGCCCCTCTCACTCTTTGTAATGCCACTCCTGGCTCACCACTTAAAGACAGAGTGAGGTTCTTAGCCCAAAACAGATTGTGGAGTAAAACAACAGCAACAAGGTTAAAGAGGACATGAGCAAAGAGCTCTTAACTAATACTCTCAAAGTTGGAAAAAAAAGTGACTAAGTATTTTAGTTTGTGCAACTTGAACAAGTTAGGTGAATCTAAGCAAAATGAGCAACAAGCCTGCAGGGTGAAAAAGGAGAAAAATAAACCTGAATAATCATGCTGCAAATTTGTCATCCAGTCATGCCTAAGACGAAGTGTAAACTGAAAGCTGTAATAGCTGCAGAGCTGTTAACAGCCGCAGATCTGAAAACTCTTGTGCAAACTTAGTTTAATTTAAGTGTACTTGAGTCCTTTCCTAGAACAATACATGGAGTCATGCTTAAGAGTTAACTACTGGGGCAGATTAAGCTAAATCAAATGTCCAGCCAACTGTTCTTCACATTGTCATACCTCAATCAAAACCAAGAGCTTGATTTCTGAATGATTTCTTGATTTCCCCCAGTAAGGAAAGCTTGCTAAACTAGTCTTAGATTTTATTAGCAGCTGTTAAACAAGGGCAAGCAGTAATTTGCTTCTTTTGTTCAATAATCTTCTAGATCTGCTAGTTTTTGAAAACTTTTTAACTTCAACAGCTGGATTGATACTTATTTTTTTAAAGTAAAGAAACTGTTTTTTAAAACAATTATGTTCCATTCCAAGACACTTCGTCTTTTTATACTATCCTTGTATTGATTTCTCCCCCCACCCACCCATATCTCCAGTATTTGATTGTACATTTCCAAAACTGCTGGTGCAACATATTTTATCAAATCGGAATTTTATTCAAGCATAGCAACAGGGATGTATGTTCAGCCTGCTGCCACTGTTTATAAAATGCTACTTTATGATGATTTCATATGTTTGTCAGAGCAAAGAAAACCAACTTTTGGAGAGATCATTAGAAGTGCCATAGTGCAGGGAGGATATAATAGTCTTAAATTCCAGTTTTCAAATCCTTGTTTAACCCCCTTTGCCTGATAATCCTTGCAAACGTCTACAACTCAGTAAGTTGCAGCTGATCACCAAACAGGAACAACAAATACACAAACCATATTCAGGTAATATATGCAAACAGTCTAATCTGCACGCGCACACACACACACAGAGAGAAATACATACATATACACACACACAAGTGAAAGAAAAAGTTCAGTTGCAACAATAGCCACATGAAATCAGGCCAAAGACTCGGGATCAAAAATTCCAAGAGATAAATACAAACATGCCGACATCAGCAGATATCATGATCAGAAGTAAAGAAATAAAGAAATTGCTCAATTTCTTGGAAAGTTATCCCCATCTCAGAAAAATGAACTCTTACCCATATGACATCATTGGCCTATCCTATTATACCTCCAGGCCAAGAAAAATATTTTAGAGCTTAGTTCCTGGCTGCAAAAAAAGTTGCCACCTGTGAGCTACGGGGCAGGAAGAACAGCAGGTCAATATGACTATCTTGTGCTACAAATGAAAGGAAAGAGTTTGCTATCTACTACCCAGTTCAGGATCCCACCCCAGCTTCTTTGCCTTCTGCTGCTTGCCATCCTCTTGCTTGCTCTCTCCTTGAGTAAGCATTCTTTCAAAATGCCCAATTCCTTCACTGGGTAACACAACACACTAACAGTCATTAGCAACCCTTGCTGTCTGAATCATGGAGAAATTGCCAGTCTCTCCTTGTGTACAGAGGTAGAGACACACAGTGACAACTAGGCTAAATAGAACTTAAATCCTACTTTTTTTAGTTAATTGGAAGCCAGGAAATCTCCAACTTTTTCTAAACGATTACATTTATTTTAATGGGAATTACATCAAATTAGATGGAACTGGATCTACTTCTATGTAAGCCATATTCTTTCATATGATCCCTCCAAGCGAGTTAAAATGTTGAAAACTGCAAAACCCAATGCCAGCTTCCCTAATGAAGCCAATCAAAGACTTCAGCTCTGCTAAGAATTCCAGTGCTAAGAAAGTTCAAGTAAGGACTCAACATGACAATAGCAGCAATATTTATCCCCCACAGTGATTTTTATTAGCATCAAAACACATCCCCAGTTCAAAGAGCATCATCAATGATTCATGTGTGTTCAACTGCTTGCTGAAGAAAGGGATGTTGAGAATTTAAAAAGAAACCTCTAGGGCAGTGTTTCTCAAACTTTCTGCAATCATGGACTACCAAATAAATTTTCAGAAAATGTGGGAGCCAATTAAACAATCACCCCCTCCCTTTTAAGAAATGGGGATTCATGCATTTTTGTAAGATTATTACAGTTGCATTTGTGTATACCTTCTATCCTTTCCACTTTTAAAGGCCTTTTCAGATTACATTTTGCACCAAAAAATGAATTCAAATTAAGTATTTTAAATCACTTGACATGTCATAACATAATATGTTATAACATATTATAACAACTCTTAGCACAAATTTACTGGTCAAAAATGTTCTTCAATAGAAATCTCTCCTTTCAGTAGGACTAGAGGTATGAGTGGTGACCTCCCACTAACGAAATCCCATTTTTACATATTCTTTGTTGGATCTTCTAGTCATACTTTTATTTTTGGGTTCTACTTAGCACATAACATGTAGACGAACAGTAAGTAACTACACCTAAGACCTGTTTACCTGTTCACTATTGTTAGTTTTCTGAGTTTTAGTATTCTTGTTGCTATTACTACTTGTATATTTAAAAAAAAAAAAGGTTTTTAGCCACTGATCCATTTTCACACTCTGGTGGGGAGACAGGGGCTGAGGCAGGAACAGACTCTGGAGCAGCCAGCTGACTACCGATGAACATGGGGAGGCGGAAA